GATTTTATTGCCATTAAATTACATCTTTTCACTTTTTAAAAAAACATGCTTGCTTACATTATGTTATTATTCTAGTAAACACAAAGATTTGTAGATTGCCCCTAGAGAGAGATCTGTATTTAACCCATTCTTATTCAACTTCCTTGCTAAACAGCTACTATGATGAGGGCCATGCAATGTAAAGGTGTATTTCCCTGCCTAGGAGTCAGAGGTGCTGCATACAACCATTCAATAGCTACTTGTCTAACTCATACAACCGCCCCCATAGCCGCTTGAACAGGGCCAATTCTGAAATTTCTCACATACATGTGAAAGTTAGCATTTTTTTGCTAGAAAATTACTTAGAAACCCCCCCCCCCCCAATTATATTTTTTTTTAAGGCAAAGGTCTTGGGAAATAAAGTGGTTGTTTTTGCAATATTTTATGTCACACAATATTTGTTTTTTTATTGTATTATTTATTTTATTTACATTTATTTGCTCCACTGTCCGTTTGATTTTTTTTAAATCAAATTTATTGTTATCACAAGGTATGAACAACACATTTTGTGATAGTATGGTTAGTGACAGACCCCAGATCTCTGGTCTGCCCTCAAAAACATCAGACCAAATTGAGATTGTCTATATTCACCGGACTACGCAGGATACAGTGGTCCTGAACTCTCTGATTGCACCACAGAACCTAGAGACAGTGGCGGGGGGGAGTGGAGGGAGGATGGGGGGCCCCCTTTCTGCTCCCTGAAAAAATGGTGAAGCTGCAGCTGTAGAGACAATCAGAACATGTTTACAGGAAAACTCATCGCTTTGATACCAGGATCATGACTGCAGCAGCAGCCATGATCCCAGGATATCCACTTCCACTAGAGGACGTATATAATTTATATATATATATATATATATATATATATATATAAAAAAACAGGGGCGGACTGACAACTCATAGGGCCCCCCGGGCAATAGGGGATCATGGGGCCCCTGTGTCCTTGCCCAAACTCAAAAAAGCATATAAAAAGGGTACCAGGGGCATCTCATGGGGCCCCCTACTGACCCCGGGCCCTCGGGCAGTGCCCGAGTTTCCAAATGGTCAGTCCGCCCCTGATATAAACACACACACACACTATATTGCCAAAAGTATTGGGATGCCTGCCTTCTACATGCACATTAATTTTAATGGCATCCCAGTCTTAGGCTGTAGGGTTCAATATTGAGTTGGGCCACCCTTGTAACATCTCCAACTCTTCTGGGAAGGCCAGTCAAGTTCCTCCACCCAAATCTCACTTGTGCATGTCTTTACGGACCGCACTTTGTGCACTTGTGCTCAGCCATGTTGGAACAGGAAGGGGCCATCCCCATACTGTTCCCACAAAGTTGATATGCTGTCACCTTAAGAGTTCCTTTTACTGGGACTAAGGGGCCAAGCGCAACCACTGAAAACAACCCCACACCATAATCCCCCTCCACCAAACTTTACACTTGCCACAATGCAGTCAGACAAGTACCATTCTCCTGGCAACTGCCAAACCCAGAAACATCCATCGGATTTTCAGACAGAGAAATGTGATTTGTCACTCCAGAGAACACCTCTCCACTGCTCTAGAGTTCAGTGGCAGCACCACTGCATCCAACGCTTTGCTCGGCCATGGCTGAGTTGCTGTTCCCAGTTGCTTCCACTATTATTAATACCACGAACAGTTGACCGTGGAATATTTAGTAGCAAGGAAATTTCACGGATGGACTTATTGCACAGGTAGCAACCTATCACAGTACCACACTTGAATTTACTGAGCTCCTGAGAGGGACCCATTCTTTCACAAATGTCTGTAGAAGCAGTCTGCATGCCTAGGTGCTTGATCTTTTACACCTGTGGTCATTGAGGTGATTGGAACACCTGAATCCAATGATTTGAAGGGGTGTTCCAATACTTTTGGCAATATAGTGTACAGTATACAGGTTGGTCGGGAAGTGAATAGACATGAATTTCTATACTTCTGTACATGACTGTATGCGGGTTTATTTTGGTACTTGTGTAAATCAAAGAATGTAGAACAGGCAAAGAGCACAAGAAGTTATCAGTTAACAAAAACTTATGTCTGGAACATCAGGTATTTTGGTACAAGTTGAAAGCATGAAGCCTGCAAACAATGGTTGCAAGCTTAATTCAGAAATGCACTAAATACATACACAAATACCAATATTATTACTATGGATTGTATTGTAATATACTGTATTGTTCTATAGGTTTGCCTTTTAATGTGCATAGAAAACTTAACTCCTTATTACCACTTAGTTAACTGATATTTGCTTTAATTCAATCTTTTCACCCCTCTTTCCCTTTGGTTTATTATTTTGCCAATTTTTGTTTATTATTTGCATGTAAACTATGTTAACCACTTACTGACTGCCCTGCCCACAGTTCATTCATTGCAGGCAGGTAGCATGTGCAGGCTGGATGACGAACATGTATGTTATCCAGCTTGCACAGGTTTAGTCTGCGCGCCCAGTGAACACAGTGGATTGTGGCTCCCGGTATTCTGTAGCTTGGTGCGGTCCAGGGATCATGTGATCACTACGCGATCACATGATCACAATGTCAACAAAGCTGTTATGAATGAATGTCGTTCATAACAGCTCTGCTTCCTATACCAGTGAGCTGTGCTTTGCCCACAGCTATCACATGATACATGGACCAATCAGAGCACCCTCTACCATGTGATTAACTGTAGCCAATCACAGATAAATGTTTTTCACTGTCATGAATGGGTTACATTCATGACAAATTAATAGTTATGTTACAATGATTTTCACTGTAACAGCAATTAAAGTGTAAAAAAAAAAAAAAATCCCTAATCACCCTCCTCCCACAGTTCCCCTACTACAGTGACACTGAACTACTCTGATGAAAGTATATAAAAAAATTAAATAAAAATAATGTTTAAAAAATAAAAAAAAATATATATAAATTTTTAACATACTGTCACCAACTGCCACCAAATGATGCTGTATTGCACTTATAACAGTATGTAAAAAAATTTATGAAAAAAAATGTAATTTAGTAATTTTCCAAAAAATGTGACAAAAAAATTACAACTTCAAAAAAACTCGCCATGCCTCTTACTAAATTCCTTGGACTGTCTACTTTCCAAAAAGTGGTCATTGCGGGTATATGTACTGTCCTGGCATTTTGAGGGCCTCAAGAATTGAGATAGGCCATCAGTACGTCAGAATTGATCAGTTTTTTTATATATATATCATAGTTTGTAGAAGCAATATCTTTCATACAAACCAGTTCATGTACACTTATTAAGATTTTTTTTTCTTTTTTTTTTTTTTACAAGGACATGTAGCAGAATACATTTTGGCTTAAATGATTCTAAAGGCTTAACTTTAAAAACAAACAAACAAACATGTCAATACTTACCTGCTGTGTGCCATGTTTTTTACAGAGCAGCCAGGACCATCCTCTTCTTGGGTCCTCCGCTGGTGCTACTGGCTCCTCCCTCCTGTAGGGTGCCCCCACAGCAAGCAGCTTGCTATGGGGGCACCTGAGCATGCACACTCTCCAACTGCTGCTCCGTGTGACCATTCACACATGGATCAGCCCTGCCCCCTCTCTTCTCATTGGCTCACTGGCTATGATTGAGAGCAATGAGAGCCAATGTCTCTGCCACTGAGGAGGAGTCCTGGGATAACAAAAACTCCAGTGCACATCACTGGATCAAGAGGAGTGCTTAGGTGAGTATTAGGGGGGCTGGGGGGAATACTGCACAGAGAAGTTTTTTTTTACCTTCATGCATAGAATTCATGAAGGTAAAAAAAAAAACCTGGAGCCTTTACAACCCCTTTAAATTTACAAAGAAATTACATTTGAAAAAAAAATTTTGTTGGATATATTTTATTACAGAAAGTAGTAAATATTGTTTTTATTTTAATTTTCCATCTATTTGTGTTGAAATAATTGTGTACAGTGTTTCATGATCATGCAATTGTAAGTAAAGTAGCGCAATGCCGAATATAAAAAAAAAAATGGCCTGAAGGGGGTAAAAGCTTCCAGAGCTTAAATGGTTAATTTGCTTTTGTTGTGCCCTATTATGTACAATATTTTGTATAACTCTTTGTTATAAATAACCTTACCATGCTTTCTAGCCAAAACATACAATAAAAGGGAAAATCAAGGCTTAGTTAAAGAGGTATGTCTTAGGAGACGCTGCACCATACCCAGTCAATCACTCATAATGCATTTAACATTTATTTACATTGTTTATTACTGATTCTCTGATTCCCATATTGATTTTGTTAATGGCACAGAACCTAACCTTAGTTACTATGACATAGTTGTTACCCTAACAGACACATTTACCCACTATATGCTCATTTATGTTCTACTGCAATTCAGACTAAAGTTGTATCAATAGATAAAGTGCATTTATCATTAAACTATTTAGTGCATACTCTCTGGTAGCAAACCACAGCCAGGTAAAATATATTTGATACTTGTACCTTTATCAATTCTGCAGTGCCTTACATCTAACCAGGTGTGCTAGAAGGGCTGAGGTTGTTTTTGGAGTTGAGGCGCAAAACAGACAACCCAAAAATACCCTTTGAGGGTTACACTACATAAAGTATATAATGCAACTTGTTACTTTGTTTTCGTATAAACGTTTGGGGGCATACTGACCCAACTAAGTTACTTGCTTACCATTTACTGTATCTTGTGAAGTTCTCAGACTATTTTACAGTATGATATATTTGACCTATTTTCTTAGTATAAATATCATGGAAAAAAACATTGATTTGCCAAGAATATTTTTGTTTTGTAGGTTGTCAAAGTGATGCTTCATGCAGATGAAGATAAATGAAAGAGATTTATCAACTAGGACAGAGGAAATCTGTTGCTAGGTCAGTCAATAAATCTCTCACTGTGCTACTGGTATATTAACAAAAGGATCCATATTATAATGAAATGATAACAAATACAGCACTCTGTAAATGTTTGGCTAATATAAATAAATGCCATTTTCTGTAAATGGCTTATGCAGTTCTGTACCATTTCAAACCATTTTGTACACACCTAGGACCTATTTAATAACAGTGTACTGCAAACAAAAATAATACACTCATAAGTACCCAATATATCATAATAACACTGAAATATCCAAATTGCATAAATTTAAAAGACTTATTATCAAATGTCATCCCTTCTCTGTAACAACCACATTCTGGGGATTTTCTAACACACTCTGTGGTTTCCAGCAGTTCCCAGTTTGTTCAATAAAATAAAAAAAATGCATGTGTTATAAAAGATAGTCTTTTGTGCTATACTTGTATGAAAATATGCAAAAATATACCAGCACATGGAAACAACCTTGAAGTGAATGTACTTGTTTAATGTAATTTTCTCCCGCTGACCACTGGTGACTGAAAGTTAGACAAAATCCAAAACTTTCAGTTGTCACTTTGGAGCAATGGGGACACTCATTCTGATGGATGCTATAGGAAATCACCCCAACTGACCTACTATAAATGTATGCATGTGACATTGTTTTACTCCATACTCAGTCCAAAACAAACAAAACAAATTTTGGTGATGGATACAATTTTTTAAAATGAGATGCTTCTATAAGTTGATCCCAACAGATCACTCAAGGAGATGCAAACTAAAAACAGAAAATCATAGCGAAATCATTAACCAGATATGATGGAAATGGAAAACATACAGTATATTAAGTCAAAGGAGAGTTTAAATAACAGGTTATTGCAACGCTGTTGATCCATGAACGGAGTACAATTGATGGAAACATTTAGATTGTAAGCTCTAATGAGCAGGTCCCTCTGTTTCCTACTGTATTGAATTGTACTGTAATTGTACTGTCTGCCCTCACGTTGTAAAGTGCTGTGTAAACTGTTGGCACTATACAAATCCTGTATAATAATAATAATGGCAAAATATATACATCAGACCAAAACAGCTGAACAAAGTACAGTCTGGGTTAGAAAGTTTTGTCAGATTCCCCATTGTGATTAATTTAACTAAACTAAACCAGACATGGTCCAAAGCCAGGAACAAAGAAATGTATTTCCCCAGTTTATTCAAGCATACACACTTTCAGGTTTTACTTACCTGAGCCCAGCTTTAATGTTCCTTTTTTTCTCCACTGCATATTATCTCTACTGAGAGGACCCCTTAGCATTATTATGGAAGGTGTGCCAGAAATGTCTATAGCAGCTTTTCTCAAACTTTTTAACACAAAGGAACCCTTGAAATCATTTTTATGTTTCGGGGAACCCCTGCTAAATTATTACATCGCTACCTCATGGTGCATTTGCATGTTCAGTAAGTTGTGAATACAATAATACATCAAAGAGTAAAAAATTAGCATACCTAGCATATTTGACACCCAAAACAGTTTTTTAAACAATCCCCTGTTCTATAAAAATTGTTTCAGTAACAAAAACATGGAATGGAACAAATAATAATAATAAAAATGTCCAGAAACAAACACCAATGGTAAAAAAGCAGCCTTTCCATTGGTTACAGTGCAAAAAGTGACATTTTAAATTGCCTGTTGTGTATGGTTCCATACATAGGTTGTCAATGGAAGAATAACCCCTTATATTAATTGTCACAGGGAAGGACACTCAAAGACCAGTGGGAAGACTGCCCTCTTTTTAGACAGATAATTAATATCAGTGGGATTTGAAACTGCTTTTTGCTCAAGGAACCCCTAGCAACCTGTGGAGGAACCTCAGGTTTCCAAAGAAACCTGTTGAGAAACCCTGGATTATAGGATTATAGATGGTCATTGCCACTAGGAACAGCAGAATAATACAGCAGACTAAACAAGGATATTTATATGGAATGTTTTTTCTAGATTGTGCCTGTATAGCCTATAAATATTGCATGAACTAGATAATAAACACTCCAGAGGGAATGGAAATTGCAAAAAACAGTGACCAATGGTTCTGTTTAGAACAACTTGTAAAAATTTGCTTTGGTTGACAAAACACACAGCTGAGGCCATTTCAGTGCTCTGACATTGGTTGGTGACTTCCTGTAGGTGAGATCGCGGTCACAGACAGACACTGAAAGTGTACTGTGAAGACACTTACAGTACTGAGAAGCTTTTTGGTGTGCTTGTTAGCACTGTAATTCAGAGCAAGCATGGTGGTAAAGAAGAAAGTGTGGAGGTTAATGAAGGTGTGTGTGCAGCAGCAAGCAGGTTGCTGAAAATTTTTTACAAGAAAATTACTGCATACTTAAAGTCTAAAATTCAGAGCAAGCATGGTGGTTGAAAAGAAAGTGTTGTAATGAAGGTGACAAGAATGTGCAGAGCTGTAATTAAGGTGACAAGAATGTAGCCAGTGGTAAAGAAGGTGACAAGAACGTGCAGAGCTGTAACAGAAGGTGACAAGAACTTCTGAGTAGTAATGAAGGTGAAAAAAAAGTGCAGAGCGGTAATGCAGGTGACAAGAATTTGCAGAGGATGCATTTTTGGTAACAAAATGGAAGTGCAGTATAAAGTAATGAAGGAGACAAAGAACATGCAAACAGCAATAATTTGAAGGGACAAGAAGTGCAAATTGAAGGTGACAAGAACATTGCTGAGCGGCAATGCAGGTAAAAATAAAGTGCAGAGCAAGAATGTGAAGAATAAAGGAGACAAGAACATGCAACACATTATTGAACAAGAATGACCTAACCACCCAAACACACACACACCCCCCCCCCCCCCTACCCAATAGCCCCATACACATCTCAGAGGAAAATGTCAGCATAGAAAAGGCACTAGGACAAGCCCATGAAGGACAGTTTGACCCCCTTTGCTATGTTGCGAACGCAACATGCGCCGATCTGAAGAATAATATAATATCAGTGAGAAAGTATGGTAGAAATATACAGCCTTTCCATTGGTATCAGTGAAAATACAGGAGATAAATATATTGCCTAGTTGGTGACTGGTTCCATACATAAACTGTCAATGGAATGAAAACCCCTTAGTTAATTGTCAGAGACTATGGACATCTTATATTGTCCAGTGGGAAGACTGCCTCTTTACCTGAGGATAATTAATATAGTGGGAGTTTTGAAACTGCGTGTTTGCCTCAAGGATAAAATAGCAACTGTGGAGGAACCTCAGGGTTCCAAAGAAACACTGGTTGAAAACCCTGGATTATAGGAATAGATGGTCAGTGCCACTAGGAACAGCAGGAATAAGTACAGCAGGCTCATACTTTCTTGGACTAAACTCCCAAGGATATTCATATGTGCCTTAGTTTAGTTGTTTTTGTTTTGTTTACATACTGAATAAATGTTTTTTAACTAGATTGTGCCTGTATAGCCTATATTACATATGCCACTTGCATGAACTAGGAATAAACACTCCAGGGAGGGAATGGAAATTGCAAAGGTCATTACAGTGATAACTCAGTTCACGAATGGTTTGTTTAGGAACAACTTGGTTTGTGGACAGAAGAGTTCGCAAAAATTTGCTTTGGTTGACAAACACAAGCTGAGGCAAGTGCTCTGACATGTGGTTGTGACTTCCTGTAGGTGAGATCGCGGTCCTGAAGACAGACACTGAAAGTGTACTGTGAAGACACTTACAGTACTGAGAAGCTTTGCATTGGTGTGCTTTTTTAGCACATACTGTACCTGACATTCAGTATGGCCCCAAAGAAAATTCAGAGCAAGCATGGTGGTAAGAAGAAAGTGTGGAGCGGTAATGAAGGTGACAAGAATGTGCAGAGCAAGCAGGTTGTTGAAAAAAAAGTGTAGAGTGGTAATGAAGGTGACAAGAAGGTGCAGAGCTGTAATGAAGGTGACAAGAATGTGCAGAGCAAGCAGGTTGTTGAAAAGAAAATGTAGAGTGGTAATGAAGGTGACAAGAAGGTGCAGAGCTGTAATTAAGGTGACAAGAATGTGCAAGCAGTAAAGAAGGTGACAAGAACATGCACAAACAGTAAAGAAGGTGACAAGAACGTGCTGAGTAGTAAATGAAGGTGACAAGAACATGCAGAGCGGTAATGCAGGTGACAAGAATGTGCAGAGCAAGCATAGTGGATAAAAAGGAAGTGCAGAGCAGTAATGAAGGAGACAAGAACATGCAGAGCAATAATGAAGGGGACAAGAATGTGCAGAGCAGTATTGAAGGTGACAAGAATGTCCAGAGCGAGCATGGTGGTAAAAATAAAGTGCAGAGCAAGAATGGTAAAAATAAGGTTGTGAAGAAAATAACCATTGAGTTAAAGAAGGAAATTGTAGAAAAGCATTATCATGGTATTCGTGTGACTGATCTGGCCACGGAGTACAAGATGGCGAAGTCAACTATTTGAAGAAGAAAGCTGAAGAAAGAAAGCTGCCATCAAAGGAGCTGATGTGGCAAAAGGAGTAACGGTGTTAACCAAGCAGAGGATGCAAGTGCTGGAAGAGGTGGAAAAATTTTGTTAGTGTGGTTGAATGAGAAAGCTGACAGGTGATAGCGTTAGTAAAGCTATGATCTGTGCAAAAATCTAGGAAATCGCACAGTGAGTTACTGCAAAAAAAACCCTCTACAAGTGCAGAAAGTGAAGAATTTACAGTCAGTAGAAAGTGGTTTGAAAAAATTCCGCAAGAGAAGTGGCATCCACAGTGTGACAAGACATGGTGAGGTTTCCAATTCTGAGAAGGCTGCTGTAAAAGCCTACAAAAAAGAATTTGCGGAATTCATGAAGGCAGAAGGATACATCGCTCAACAAGTGTTCAACTGTGATGAAACAGGGCTCTTCTGGAAAAAGATGCAAAAAAAGAACCTATATCACGCAGGAGGAAAAGGCACTGCCAGGCTACAAGCCCATGAAGGACAGATTGACCCTTTTGCTGTGTGCGAACGCAAGCGCCGATCTGAAGAATAATATAAATCAGTGAGAAAAGTAGTGCAGCGCTATACATGCATCTTATAATAACATGAAAATACAGGAGATAAATATACAAATGAATAGTAGGTGATGGGCCCACATAAACGCCAGCCCACACTTAATAAACTAGTAACAAGTGACTATGCATACAATTTCCTCCTGATC